AACATGAACATATGCAAGTTAAACAACACATTCCTGATTAATGAATGGGTCAAAGGTGAAATTAAGAAAGAAATAAAAGAATTCCTGAATTCAATGAAAAGGACAATACAACACAAAACAACATCTGGGACACTTTAAAAGCAGTCCTAAGAGGGATGTTTATAGCTCTAAGTGCCTATATTAAAAAATCAGAAAGAGCCCAAATAAATGACTTAACATTGCAATTCAAGACCCTGGAAATGCAAGAACAAATGAAACCCAAACCCAGCAAAAGAGAAGAAGTAATAAAAATAAGACCAGAAATTAGTGAAATTGAAACAAAGAAAACAATACAAAGAATCAATGAATCTAAAAGCTGGTTGTTTGAAAGCCAAACAAGATCTAGATGATTAGCCCAGCTGACCAAAAGATAAAAGAGCATCTCCAAATCAACAAAATCAGAGATGAGAGGGGAAACATCACAACAGACACCAAAAACATCCAAAGCATTATAAAGGAATACTTTAAAAACCTATACTCTATTAAATATGAAAACCTAAAAGAAATGGATAGATATCTAAAATCATGAGAATCACCAGAGTTAAACCAATAAGAGATCAACAGTTTAAACAGACCCATAACATATGGGGAAATTGAAGCAGTAATACAAAGCCTCCCAACTAAAAAAGGCCCAGGCCCAGAGGGACTTACAGCACAATTCTACCAGACATTTGAGGAGGACCTCAAGCCAAAACTACTTAAATTATTCAAAAAGATAAAAGCAGAAGGAGAACTCCTAAATTTCGTCTATGAAGCCAGCATCACTCTAATACCCAAACCAGCTAAAGATATAACCAAGAAAGAAAACTATAGATCCATATCCTTAATGAACATAGATGCAAAATTTCTCAACAAAATACTTGCAAACCACATACAGATAGATGTACATCAAAAAGATAATTCACCATGTTCAAGTGGGCTTTATTCCAGAGACTCAGGAATGGTTCAAAATACACAAGTCAATAAATGTCATCAATCATATAAATAGACTCAAAGAAAAAAACCACAAAGACAAAAACATCTATTGTCATCTTAATAGATGCAGAAAAGTCTTTTGACAAAATTCAGCATGATTCATGATAAAAGTTCTAAAGTGAATTGGACTGGAGGGAACATACCTCAACATAGCTAAAGCTGTATACAACAAACCTACAGCCAACATCATTCTAAATGGAAACAAACAAACAAACAAACAAACCTGGAAACGTTCCCATTAAAATCAGGAACCAGGGAGATCCTAGCAGACAGCCTGAGAGGGTGGGTTCCGACCTCTATCATGTAGTGGCTCTGATCTCAGCAGACCACCAGAGAGTGCCAAGTTCTGGCCTCCCTCTGGCCTCTCTCTGACAGAGGCGCTGAGAACACAGGGGACTGCCTGAGAGCCCCGAACCCTGCCTCTATGTGGTGGTCCTTTTAATAAGATGAAGCTAAACAGGAGTCCCTTCTACATGAAATAACTACCACCATCACAACTTCAGCTGAGCCTGACTGCTAAACACCATCACAATTGGGTTTGTTGATGGTTGTGCTCATTCATTAAAGGAGGGCCAAGCAGGGTCATTGGACCTCACCGCATTATCCAGCTACTCTTCCCAGCCAACTGAATGTAATTTGACCCTAATCACACATGGCCTCCTGGATTTGGGGAGGGCTAAACTATACAATCTGGGCAAGGCTAGGAAGAGAAGGCATGACCCATGCTGGGTAAAGGCTTTCCAGTGTGCATAACCTCAGGGCATACATACACCTCAGCAATCCACCAGTTACCTTGGTAAGTAAGCTCAATAAATTCATTAGTTCCTCAGTAAAACTTTAATCAAACATTGGCCCAACACTAGAACCTTGAAAAGAAGTCTCACAACAGATGAAAAATTTATTTGTTAATGCTCTTGTGTCTCATAATTATTTAAAAAAAAAAAGGAAGAAACAAAACAAGAATGTAAAAGATGTTAAAAGGATATGGGAATGGAGATATTTTCTAAAATAGAAAAAATGAGAAAGCCTAAGCAAGTGATAAAGGTCTGTGTAGGTTTCTTATGATATATAAAGGATGAGACAAAAATAATATACATGTAATCTTAAAATGTCTATGGTCATAGTTTAGTCAACTAGTTTAAGGAACAAAATATATATCTAGTCAAAGTTCATCTGAGAATATTTGGTTTTTTTTTTTTACCCAAGCCTTATCTACATAGCACATGATTAAAAGTACCACACTGGTGGAACTAACCTTATTGGATGTTAACAGCCATAGTTTGAGGCCTATACTAATATGGTCAGAGGCCTATACTAAAAAAGGACAGTTTTTGCCCCTTACCCTCCAAGGTCAACTAAGTTCCAGGGGACTATGGAACATCTCTCAAAATGTCCTGTAACTGTGGTGAGTCACCTGTCCTCTTGCTCAAGGAAGCCATGGAGACCCCATGAGATGGACTTGAACCAGCGTCCTGTCTACAAAGAGGAGGCGTCAATCAGAGGAAACATCTCATTTATGCTTCCAAGTAAAGCCACACATAGTCAAGCCAGGAGCTCCTCCCAAGCCCAGGTGACCCCTGAGGAACAGATCATCAAATGACCTTAAGTGTAAAAATAAATTGATTTATTTGGGCCCACTGAACGGTCTTAAACACCCAAAAGGAAAGTATAACCAAAGGGTAAAGTCATCAGTATATTTCTTTAAGAGTTTCAATGGAACTAATATTTTTAATAATGATTACAACGCTGTGCACAGCACTGTGTGTGACTCTCTTGGGGACTAAGAATACTCTTGCTACAGATGGCCCATGTTTTTCTGACTCTTACGATATAGGATGCCATACATACCCATAATTCCTTCTGGAACCTTTGGTCTACATCATTGAAAGAGTTCTTCATGAATAGTTCAACAGCCTCTCTCTCAGTAGCTCTGTGCAAGACCAGAAGCTCCTGAAGGGTTTCTGTTGGTAGGTGCACCTTCTGTTCCACCTGCTGTTCATAGTGGGCAATGGCCTTTTGCACTGCAGCTGAGTTCTCTATCTGGGCTAAAGCCAGGACTGCATTCTCCATGCAGGGCAGTTCCCCATTGGTGATAGCATTGACATAGGTCAGCACCAGATGCTGTAGACCTGTTACAATAAGGAATTAGAAAAGATAATTACAGCCAGTTAGTGAGCAGAATACTCCACGGTTGTCCACTGAGCTTTCAGAATTTTCCTAGACAGAGTAAGAAAGGCATAATTAAACTCAAAATTCAGAGGCTGTTAAAGCCTACTTTTCCTTTTCCTTGCTTACCCTTGAGATAGGAGGAGCGAAAGGATCGGGACAACTTTTGGATGGGCTATTACGTGATGCCTCGTTCTTTTATTACCTTTGTTTTCAACTCCTCATCTTATTATTTTTCTATTCACTCTTCCCCCATTAAAATGGCCAAAGAGAAAATTGGTCTTTTCTTCTGTGTTTCTCCTGTTATGGGCTACAGTACCTCTTCTAGCCTATATACATGGGTCTACCTAGAATTTCTCTCACATGAGCTATAAGCAGAGACCATACAATTCAGGTTTGCTCAGGGCTTTGCTCTTTGTAAGCCTGACAGCATCACATTCCAGGAACACCAGGTCTCAGGCAAATTAGAGAGGTTGTCAGGCCCCTCGCAAATAGAGTTCTCTGAAGAGCTCAGTCCTTCACCTTCTTTTCTATTGCTATAGGGACAAAGTCACATCTCTATGGATGAATCATGGGATTTCTTCCATTCTTTTGACATTGATTTATGTTCTGGATTCTCTCTCTCTCTCTCTCTCTCCTCTCTCTCCATGTATGTATTTATTAATCTCAGGGATTTTTTTGTTGTTGAAATAGGGTCTCACATTTTTCATGTTGGTCTCAAACTTGATATGTAGCACATGATGATCTTGAATATCTGACCTCTCTCTCCCCCAATTCTCAGTGCTTGTACACCTCCATACCAATTTTGTGATACTGGGTATGAAACCCAGGATTTGGTTCTTGCTAAGAGATCACTACACACTGGCCCACATCCCTAGCCAGGGATCCCGATATTTGGTCTGCCTTTATTGATTACTGTAAATATCAGAAGAAAGTCCACATTAAATTATTCAACTATGGGGCTAGAAAAATGGCTCAGCAGTTAAGAACACTAGGTGCTCTTGCAGAGGACCTGAGTTTGGTTCCCAGCACCCACATCATGGCTAACAACCATTTGTAACTCCAGTTCCAGGGGAACCAACACCCTATTCTGACCTCTACAGGTATTGCATGAAATGGGTGCACTTATGTACATGCAGGCAATATACTCATAAACACTAAATTAAGATAAAATATCTTAAAAGTATTATTCAAATACAAACAACTCCTTCCACTCTGAAAATTGGTATTTTAAAGTTCTTTTTTAATTGTATGGGTATGAGAGTTTTGCCTGCATGTGTGTGAATGCACCTATGAATGCAATGCCCATGGAGGCCAGAAGAGGGCATCAGATCCCTTGGAACTGAAGTTATGGACAGTTGTTAGCTATCATATGGGTTCTGGGAATAGAATCCAGGTCCTCTTGCTCTGCAAGAGCAATCAATGCTCAACAGCAGGGTCATCTCTACAGTCCCTGAAAATTTACTTTTCATCTTCTTATTACTATCTCAGTAAAAAATAGAACATTAAAGAAATGCTAAACTTCAATCTCAGATGACATTTGTATTTTCTTCTTAGTTCTCCACATATCCATATTCCACTACAATCAAGACTTTTGGACTTGATATCAAAATATGTAAACATCTGGCCCACTTTGATAATTTTTGCTGCCATAACCTTTTCCTTCTTGAAGATCAGGATGATCTGTCTTTGAAACAGTAGAACCTGAGACCTGAGACCAAACCATAACATCTGCTTATGGGTGAGACCCTGAACACGGTGTCTCAGGACCCTTACATGTGGAACAGCTGCGTGATTATTAGAGAAAGTTGGCAGATCTAAAAGGCTGTGTTCCTCATTCTAAGAAAGGCATCTTAAATTCCCTGTCTGAGAAAGTAAACATGCTGATCCATACGTCATCAGACAATAACTCTGAGTAAGGTATAAACATCCTGCTATGTAATTGACTTAGCTTGCACCAGCTAAGTTACTGTTCTGGTTTTTCATCTAAAAATATTCTGATGCTTTGTATGCAACTGCAAGAACCATACATAACTGCTACATAACTACATTTCTTTTCAGTATAAAAGCCTATTAGGCTTTTAATAATATGGACTTGATACTAGACCTGCAAGACCCAGAGTCTTCACTCTGGGTCTCTGATCCACTGTCACAGGGTAGGGTCCCACACAGGGTGGCCTCTGCATATCCTAACCTTTACATTGTAATCCATTGAATACCAAGTTCATCATCTCCCTCCCTGCCTTATAGAAACTGCAACTCATTAAGCACAAAACATTCAGAGACTTATAAAAATCCTTTACCTTGCTACCCAGAATTCTCTAAGATCCTCCCAAAGACTTCAGAACTAACTGCAATTCCCTTAAATCATCTGCCTGTGTTTTCAAACAGTCATCAGCACTGCATGCTTCCTCAATCGGGAAACTTTCATCCACTGTCTTCTTTCCAGTCACTTGAATCTTCAATTTCCTGAAGCTGAAAAGTCGTGCCCTGGCCTAGGCCTTCTTCTATTACATTATTCTGTCTGGTAAAGCTATTCTGTGTTCTTCAAGGCACTTTCTACTGATTTTCAAGATCTATCTTATTTATCAACTTCCAAGATCAATATTCTCTATGTCCCTGCTGAATTATATCCCACCTCTCTAAACGCCTTACTCTCTCATAGAATCCTCTTACTTTTATTAATTATGTGAATTGCTATTTTTCACTATGAATTGTATCTTTTGGTTTTAAGGTATCTTTGGATTGTATTGTGTTGGAATGAGGAAAAAAACATGTTTTTATTCCTTGTTATAAGAAGGAGCTAGATCACTGAAGTGATTCCCTAAACCTTTTTAGTTTCTGACATGAATATTGTATCATTTAGTGGCAAAATCACACTTACATATGGTGCTTGCCTTTTGTATGAATTTTAAAAACCTTTTTCATAAGTAGGCAACCATGAATTAATGTTGAAGGATTTTAGGGTTGAATTAGATTCTAATTCTTTTCTTTTTCCCTCCTTTGCTGTTATTGATGTAAGATAGTGAGAAATAGCTTTAGTTCCCAAGTAAAGTCCATCATGTCTGGAATGTGCTATTTTCAACAACATGGAGACATTACATGTTAGTCAGAAGTGGTACCATGGCTAAATGGGAATCCCAGTTAAGAATTATAGTGAATGACTCACGTGGTCCATTGACTTTGATGCCACCGGAGAGAGTCTTGACATCAGAATGTTTGAAGATGTATGAGGTGAACTGTGAAACTTGCTTTACAAATTCAGGGCTCAGGTCACTATCTTCCATGGTCTCTAGTTTGGAAAGGTTCTTCATTTCGGCAGGCTGTTCAAAGATGAAACACTTCCTCTTTGGAAAGTATGTTCGTATACACAGCCTAGGCTCATTAAATGTTTTGGTTTCCTGATCCATTCCTGAAGGAAGAAAAATTAGGTGTAACAAATTTCACAAATTCTTTCAATATAAAGACCTTTCCAGACCTCAGAAGACAGCCTGAGAGTGGCTGTTCTGGCCACTGTCTGGTTTAGATGCTGAGAACTCAGCAGACAGCCTGAGAGTGCCTGGATCTGGCCTCCTTGTGGTGATGAGCACTCCTAAATTGTGTCATATGCTACTCCCTAAGTGGAATTACTTGAGACCCCTCCCACACCAGGGCAGACCCCTGCTCTAGGGTAGGGTAAGGCCCAGACCTTAGCAGACAGCCTGAGAGTGGCTGTCTGGTCTCCTTCTGGCTTAGGCTATGAGAACTCAGCAGACTACCAGCGAGCATTTGATCTGGCCTCTGCCTAATATAGTGGCTGAGAACTCAGCAAACTACCTGAGAGTGCCAAAATTGGGCCTCCCCTTAAGGAACTTCCAAAATTGTACTCTGAATACCTGCTAGTAGGTGTCCAAACTTTAGAAGGAAGCCTGAGTGTACCTGACTGGAGCCTGACATAGGCTTCTGTGGGAACTCCTGAGTAGCTGATCTGCTGATCTGAAGCCATCAGTTCCCTCCAAAATAAAATCTGAGAGAACCTGAAACCTAGACCAACCAGCTCTACAAAGCCAATAAAAAAAACAAATAAGATTGTACAATTATTGCACACCAATAATGCAAACAGAAGCAAGCTTCAATTCAACTAAAGAATACTTGATTTTCATACCAGAATCACAAACAACAAAAGAAAATCACGTGCCATATCACAATGAAAAAAAAAAAAAAAAAAAAAGGAAAGCCAAAACACTATGTTCCTACCAAACTCCACCAGTCCTATAGAAGAGTTCTACAAAGAGAATCCCTTAGAAATAACCGAGGACACAGAATTGAAAAGAACAGTTATAGGAATCAAGGAATTCAATGAATTTAAAGAATACAAACAAAGAAATCAAAGAACTAAAAGAAGATAGGGATGAACTTCTGAATGAATTCACGAAAGAAATAGAAACCTTGAAGAAAACTCAGGCTGAAATGAAGAAGGAAGTGCAAAACTCAGTAAGCCAACTTGAAACAACAGGGGAAAGCCTCACTGCTAGAATGAGTGAAATAGAAAACAGAATATCAACACTGGATGATAAAGTTGAAGAAGTGGACCACTCAAGCAAATATTATGAAAAATTGAAAAAAAAACACAGGAATGGAATGTGCAAGAGATATGGGACACCATGAAAACACCAAATCTACATATCATAGGCATAGAGGAAGGAGAAGAATTTCAGGTTAATGATGTTGACCAGAACTTAAACAGGACTGTAGAAGAAAGTTTCCAAAATTAAGGAAAGACAACAGCAAAAGAAAAACAACAACTCATATATAAAGGAAAGCCCATCAGAATTACAGCTGACTTATCAATATAAACTATGAAAGCCAGAAGAACCTGGACCTAGGTATTTCCAGTTCTAAGTGACCATAGATGCCAGCCCAGAATACTATACCCAGCAAAAATGTCTATTATACTTGAGGGGGAAAGAAAAATCTTCCATGACACAAATAGTCTGAAAGAATAGATGTCCACAAAACCAGTCCTTTGAAGAATACTTGAGGCAATACAAAGAACAGAGAAAGGAACAACTATACCCCAGGAGCAATGAGAGAAACTAAATAAAGGTATAATTGTGGAAACACAAAATTAGACAAACAATGCAAACAGTAATCAAAATGATGGAAACCAATAAACATCTTTCAATAATAACTGTAAATATCAATGGACTAAACTCTCTAGTCAAACGACATAAGCTAGTTGAATGAATTAAGAAACAAAATCCATCTTTTTGCTGTTTACAAAAAACCCATCTCACCTTCAAGGATAGGCACTACCTTAAGGTAATAGGTTGGAAAAGAATATTCCAAGCAAATATCACTAAGAAACAAGCAGGGGTTGCAATTCTAATATCTGAAAAAATAGATTTCAAACTAAAATTAATCAGAAGACATAAAGAGGGTCATTTCATTCTGATCAAAGGTACAATTAACCAAGAAGATATTACAATCCTGAACATGCATGGACCAAACTCTAGTGCACCCAAATTCATAAAAACAACACTACAGGACTTTAAGACACAGATTAATCCCAACTCATTAATAGTTGGGGATTTCAATATCACATGGTCTCCATTAACAGGTCAACTGGAGAAAGAATAAACAGACATCTGAATTAAATTATAGTATACATCAAATGGATATAACAGACATCATCTTAATATTCCACCCAAGCACCAATGAATACACTTTTTATGCAGCACCCCATGGAACTTTCTCAAAAATTGAACACAGACTGGAGCACAAAACAAACCACAACAAATAGAAAAAATTGAAATAATTCCATGCATTCTATAAGACTACAATTCATTAAAGCTTAAAATCAACACTGGAAGAAGCCATAGTCACTACACAAACTCATGGAAATTAAACAACACACTCCTAAATGATAAGTGGGTCAAAGGAGAAATTAAGAAATAAAAGAATTCCTGGAATTCAATGAAAAGGCCAGTAAAACACAACAAAACCTCTAAGATACTTTAAAAGCAGTCTTAAGAGGGATGTTTATAGCTCTAAGTGCCTACATTAAAAAATCAGAAAGAGCACAAATATAAATGACCTAACATGGCAACTCAAGACCCTGGAAAGGCAAGAACAAATGAAACCCAACCCCAGCAGAAAAGAATAAATAACAAAAATCAGCCGGGTGTGGTGGCACATGCCTTTAATTCCAGCACTTGGGAGGAAGAGGCAGGCAGACCTTTGTGAGTTCGAGGCCAGCCTGGTCTACACAGTGAGTTCCAGGACAGCTGGGGCTACAAGGAGACCCTGTCTCAAAAAGACAGAAAAAAAGAAATAGAAACAAAGAAAACAACACCAAAAAAAAAGATCAATGAATGTAACAGCTGGTTCCTTGAAAGGCTAAACAAGAGAGAGAGAGAGAGAGAGAGAGAGAGAGAGAGAGACTAGGAGGGAGAGAAGTGGTTGTATGGGGAAGAGAAGGAGGGAGAAAAAAGGAGGGAGGGAGGAAAGAGAAGGAGGAAAAGAACAAGATCAAATCAGCCAAAATATGAAAAGTAGATGAATCTGGATAAAGGTATGTGGTACAATAAGATTTTAATTTTTATTTTATATATCTAAAATCATGGGAACCATCAAAGTTAAACCAAGAAGAGATAACATTTTAAGTAGACACATAACATATAAGGAAATCAAAACAGTAATACAAAGCCTCCCAACTAAAAAAAAGCCCAGGCCCTGATGGATTTACAGCAGAATTCTACCAGACATTTAAGATGTCCAGCCAATGCTACTTAAATTATTCAAAATGATAGAAACAGCAAGAACTCCCAAACTTTTTCTATGATGCCAGCATCACTCTAATGCCCAAACCAGGTAAGGACACAATAAAAAAAGAAAAACATAGATCCATAGCCTTAATGAACATAGATGCAAAAATTCTCAACAAAATACTTGCAAAACAATACAGATGTACATCAAAAAGATAATTCACCACGGTCAAGTAGGCTTTGTCCCAGAGATGCAGGAATGGTTCAATATATGCAAGATAATAAACATCATCAATCATATAAATAGACTCAAAGATGAAAAATACATTGCCATCTTAATAGATGCAGAAAAGGCTTTTGACAAAATTCAGCATGCATTCATGGAAAAGTTACTAAAGGGAATTGGGTTGGAGGGAACATGCCTCAACATAATTAAAGCTATATACAACAAACCCACAGCCAACATCATTCTAAATGGAGAAAAAATGGAAGCATTTCCATTAAAACCAGAAACCAGACAAGGATTTCCAGTATCTCCACTACTTTTCAATACAGTGCTTGAAACTCTTGCTAGAGAAATAAGACAACAGAAGGAAGTTATAGGAGTAGTAGTTGGAAAAGAAGAGGTTAAATTATTCCTTCTTGAAGATGATATATTATATCTGAGAGATCCAAAATGTTCCATCAGAAAACTCCTAGAACTGACCAACACTTTCAGTAAACTGTCAGGTTACAAAATTAATCTACAAAAATCAGTAGCCTTTCTTTATACCAATAACAAGCAATTTGAGAAAGAGTGCAGGGAAATGCTCCCATTCACAATAACTGAAAAAAATATCTGGGAATAAACCTGATGAAAGACATCAAAGATCTCTATTACGAAAATTTTAAATCTTTAAGAAAGGGATTGAGAAGACACAAGAAGATGGAAGGACCTCCAATGCTCATGGATTGGAAGAATTAATATCATGAAAATGACCATCCTACTAAAAGCAATATATATATTCAGTGCAATCCCAATCAAAATCCCCATGAAATACTTCACAAAATTTGAAAAAATCTTTAAGTTCATATGGAAGCACAAAAGACCCCGGATAGCCAAAGCAATCCTGAGCACAAAGAGCAACTCTGGGGGAATTACTATACCAGATCTCAAAGTATACTACAGAGCTGTAGTCATAAAA